GGTAATGTTGGATGAAGCAGGCCAAGGTCCAACCCATGTTGACAGCTGAACTTGTGTCATTCACATGCTAGTTTAGAGGCATGAAAGTTGTAAGAGCAAAGTGTTTATCAGTTCTTCTTCTGCAGTTTCAGAGAACCACGGAGGTCAGGCAGCATGCAGCAAGGGAATCCCTGAACAAAGAAGGCCCTGAAAGGCCAAGAGGCCCTGACAGGGCATTGTGTGAGGCTATGAAGGTGAAGTCTGGTTAGAAGACATTGGAAATGCTAGACTTATGAGACATCTGTCAAGGAGAGCTGCATACAAGGAGTGGTACCAACCCAAGAAAGAGATATATGTTGTAGACAGCAAAGCTGGAGGGGCTGAGCCATCTAAGTAAGTCATGTAAAGTCCCAGAAGTAGGGCATAGAGCTACTGGATTTGTTGTTTGTCTTGCTGGTTTTTGGACTTATTTTGGTCCAGTATTTTCTTGTATGCCCTATTCCTACCTTTTGGAGTGGGAATGTGTGTTCAGTACTACTTTATGCTGGAAGTATGGAATTTGTATTTTGATTATACAAGGGCTTACAGTTAAGAGATTGCCTTGAGAGAGACTTTGGACTTGACTTTTGAGTAATATTGAGACTGCAAAGACTATGAGAACTTTAAAGGTAACTGAATGCATTTTGCTTTTCACATGGTCATGAGCTTATTGGGGCCAGGGCCTGGAGTGTGGTGGTTTGAATGAAAATGTCCTCCATAAGCTTCAAGTATTTGAACATTTTGTTCCCAGTTGGTCATACTGTTTGGGAAAGTTTTAGTAGGCGTGGCTTTGCTGGAGGAAGCACTTCATCACTGGGGGTGGATTTGAGAGTTCTTAAACTTTCCTGGATTTCCAATCTTGCTCTGTTTCCTGTGCCTACTTGAAAATGTGAACGCTCCTGTAGCCAGGAAACCACTGTTCCTGCTAAAAACATGAGCAATGGGTGAGTTCAGGGCACGCTGAGAAGAAGGGTGGAGGCTAGCAGCTGGCAGAGCTAGTGGCCAGATTGGAATAGGAAAAGGACCTGTGCTGCTGCAGAGTGAATGGCCAAGGTGTCCTGCAGGTATAGAAGGTAGAAGGGGTATCCACAGAGCTTGGGGTGAGACCACACACCCACGGGGTGCAGTCAAAAGCTAATGGAGACCATGGGCAGGGCTGGAATGATACCGTATTCTTATAAGTCCTATCTCTCTATCATATAAACCACGTGAAACCCAAGAAAAAAATGTGTTATTTTGGTTTGTCCACCCACATCAGGAGCACAAGACACTGAGAGAGTGAGGGTGGGTTAAACAGAGAGCAGGAAGGAGAAAATTTAGTGGGGCAGCTCCAGTTTTTGCTCTAGTCATCAACTGAAACCTCGCCTTCCCGCTGTGACAGATTCTGACTTCTCTGGAACCATAAGCTCAAATACACTCTTTTGTAAATTCCCTTGGTGATGGTGTTTCCTCACAGCAAAAGAAAAGCAACTAATACAATAGGTATAGTCATACAGAATTTCTCTATGAATTTGGAAAGTCTTTCTCTCCACAGGTAAGCATGTTGCAAGTTACAGTGTGGTAGAATTCAAGTAAGAATTCATTTACTTATTGTTGAAAAACTCCTTCCCTTTGGAGATGCAAAGAACATTTGCCTCCTCCTCCCTTGGTCTCCAAAACAAATAAAGTCCCCCTTCCTTAGTCTTCCCCAGCCTATGCACTCTATCCCTTCTCCAGGTCACTTGCAATTAGGGTCAAATTGCCCACCCTGGGTTGAGAGGTGTGAGTGGATACTCAGATGAGGGTCTTGTCATTCTCCCTTCCTCTCCTTATATTCAAGAATCAACAGTCAGAAAACCCAGTTGTGACGATCTTTGGCATGTAGGTGTAGCTGGGCTTGGAAGGTGGAATCTATCTCACATGGGGGACAGTCCTGTACAACACCAGTGTTGTTAGAGACAGTTCAGTTCAGTATGGTTGTTTACTGATCATTTATTAGGTGAGAGGCATTGTGTTGATAGCTCAACAACCAAATCATCATCTGACCTCAAAGCATAACCATGTGGTATAAACTAATGTGTTTTCTTGTCTAGAATTTATTGGTACTTACAATAAAATATAGTAGGTACAATGAAGAACATTTGGCCCAAAGAGGCTGTATTTTTCCAACCAGATTGTAGAATGGTAGTTCTCAGAAAATAAAGCATTGAAACACAATCTTAAAATCTGGGGGGATAAAGCAAGATTAGAGCAACAGAGATATAAGAAGCCGCACTAGAATTGGCACATAGTAATGAAAGAGCAGCTGTGTAGGAATGACATTCATGAGACATTAAGAACAGAGTGAAAGAGGATACAGTAAGGGAGGGTGCAGAGGACTACAGTCTCACAATGTTATGTACATGTATGCGAGTATAAAAATGAGAGCCAGTCCGTATTATTAATATTCACTAATAAAAAGATAGAAAAAGTGCAAGTTGGTTTAGGAGAAGTGGTAACAGGTGATGTGCAGTGCAAATAATTTTAAAGCACCATGAATTCCATGTGAACAAAGGAGGTCCTGAAAGACTTCATGCAAGAAAGGAAAATGTCTAGAAGTCTTTAGTCTTTTTGGCAATGTATTTTTTATTGAATTTTTGTGTATTCCTCACAGTTCATCTTGATTATATTTAGACCTCATCCCCTATCAACATCCCTCCCATAGCACTTCCACTGGATTTCATGCTTTCTGTCAAGGCATATTGAATACGTTTGTGTCCCCAGATGTCCATTGGTAATAGTCTTAACAACAGTGGTATCCTGTCATCACAGAATACTGACTGGGAAGCAGTTCTTGATATTATTCTCCTTTTGAGGGCCCAGGAACAGTAGGAAAGAAAAGCCTAATTTATTTATCATTAGCACCTGTTACGTTATAGCCACTGTGAAATTCAAGACTCAGGGAAAGGAGAAAAATATCTTGCGTTCACACACACATTAGCCCTATCCAATCTCTTGTCCTTTTTAAAAAGTCTTATTAATAGGGGCTGTAGAGATGGCTCAATAGATAAGAACACTGGTTGTTCTTGCAGAACACCCGGGTTCAAATCCCAGCACCCACATGGCAGCTAACAACTGTCCATAACTCCATTCCCAGGGGATCCGACAGCCTCTTCTGACCTCCGTGGGCATTGCATGACACAGGTGCACTTACTTACATGCAGGCAATACACACATACATATAAAAAATAAATAAAAATTTAAATGTTAAGAGTCTTATTAATATTTTTATGCATATGAATGCTTGCCTGCAGCTGTGTCTGTGCATCACATATGTGCCCATGTCCAAAGAGGTTAGAAGAAGGCATTGGAGCTGTCGTGTGTGCTGGGAACCTGAAAGGGCTCTTCTGCAAGAGCCAGAAGTTTTCTTAACTGCTGCGTCATCTCTCCAGTCCCTCCCATCACCTCTTAATTCTACTATACATCTGCTGGTGTTGTAGCTCTGCTTCATTTCCAAATTATTTTTTCCTGCATTTCGTGTGTGTGTGTGTGTGTGTGTGTGTGTGTAGGTCAGAGGACAGCTTGCAAAGTTAATTCTTTACTTCCACTCTGTAGGTCCTGATGGTCAAATTCAGTAACACAAGTTGTCAGGCTTCGAGGCAAACGCCTATACCCACCTAGCCAACTGTCCAGCCCCTGATTCTTCACCATAACAAGTCACAGAGCATGATTTTGTACCTCTCTGGTGATACCCTCTTCCTGATATTTGTCCATGGGGATAAATATCCAGTGTCTGGTAAAATTAAAGGTACTTTTGAGTTCATCAAATCTTAGAACTTTTAATCCAAATTACTGAATATAAAGACTAGCCTCTCTGTGAAAAGTAAACCCATATCTTTGAGGTCGCTATGATCAATTGTTAGGTATTAGCAGAGTTTTGATAATTGAGAAATAAAGAGTCAATAACAAGTAAGAGAAGTTAATTTCCATATCTAGTATGATTTATAGGCTTTTAAAAACATGTTTGGGAATTATTTGGGGAGAAATTAGGAAAGACACATCAAACACCAGTGATTTCCATCCTAGTGACCTCAAATTCTTTTTGTAATATTTATGAGAGCTTAGAAATTGTTTTCCAGGTAGATATGGGGTAAAAATTGAGCCATTTTTTTCACTCTAGATATTTGTTGAGTATTGTTTGTATTCTAGCAACCAAGAATATGTGGAAGCTATGTTAGTACATTATAAAATTCAGCAAAAATTGAACTTTCAGTGGAGACAAAACTAGGAAATAAATCACATATGGAAAATTAGAACATGATATGATTCAATAAGTGGAACTGACTGGTAAAAGGCAGTTGTGGTGGTGTGTGTGGTGCTATTTAGGTAGGCTGACAATGAAATCCACATGGACATGTGGCAATTGAGAAGCAAATTGAAAGGGTCCTGTTGGTATGGAGAGAAAGACAAAATAGCTATATGGTAAATTGCAGGGACACGGTCCAGATACTCTCAAGAAATGAAACCAAAGGCAGGATAAGCCAAGCTGATTCTAATGGATGATGGAGCAGTATCTGGATTTTATAAAGGAACTGGTGGAGAGTTCTCATTTTAAAATAGGAGTAATCATTATGATTTGTATTTCATATTTATTTATTTTATTTTATGTGTATGAGTGTTATGCCTACATGTATATAAGTACACCCATGAATGCAATGGTTGTGGAGGTCAGAAGAAGGGGTTGGATCCTCTGGAACTGGAGTTACATATGATTGTTCGCTGCCATTTGGGTGCTGGGAAGCAATCCTGGGTTCTCTGAAAGAGAAGTCAGTGTTCTTATCTCTTGACCCATCTCTCTAATCTGGACAATTCATGTTTGTAAAGGATATATGTATTGCATAGACAACTTTAAAGGAAATGAGGGCAAAAAGTCTATGTGGTTAATAACCAAAGCTTAGATGTTTGTCAACTGGTTTAAGATGATTTCCATTACTATACTGAATCCTACAAAACAGTAAACATCTCTAAGAAAATATTTTCATATTAAGCTGTCTCTTCAGAGCACTCTTAATCTCATTATTCCTCAGACTGTAGATAAGAGGGTTCAACATGGGGATCACCACTATGTAGAACACAGACACCACCTTGTTCTGGTCAGTGGAGTAGCTGGATTTTGGCATCATATAAATGAATGTGACAGTCCCATAGAACAGAGTAACCACAGTGAGGTGGGAGGTGCAGGTGGAGAAGGCCTTCTGACGGCCCTCAGTAGAGCGCATCCTCAGGATTGTGACAAGAATGTAGGTGTAGGAGACAGCTATGACTAACAATGTGATCATGATAATGGTTCCTGCAGAAAATGAGGTCACAAGTACAGAAACACTGACATCAGAACAGCAAATTTCAACTAAAGGAGTGAAATCACAGAAAAAGTGGTTTACTCTGTTTGATCCACAGAAAAGAAAAGAAAAGAAGAAAAAGTTAAAGCAGGAAGCATTAAGAAAACCACCTACATATGATCCTACAACCAACTGGTTACAGACTTGTGTGGACATTTTGATTGAATAAAGAAGTGGGCTACAGATTGCCACAAAGCGATCATAAGCCATGACAGCCAGAAGGAAGCACTCAATTGGCCCAAAGAAAGCACCTGAGTCAAGCTGAATTGCACACCCAAGGTAGGAGATGGTACATCTTTCCACCAGGAAGTTAATAAGCATGTTGGGTGTGACTGAAGATGAATAGCCTATATCAGTAGAAGCCAAATGGCTCAGAAAAAAATACATGGGGTGACGGAGCTGAGGAGAGACTCTGATTAGCACAATTGTGCTGAGGTTTCCAGACAGGGTCACCAGGTAGATGCACAGGATGATGATGAAGAGGATAACTTGAAGGACTGGGTCATCTGTTAATCCCAATAAAATGAACTCTGTAACTGCAGTGTGGTTCCCATACCGCAGGAAAGCCATGGGATAGTGTAGTTGCTTCTCCTAAATAGATGTGATGAAAATATGAAGGAATTTATAAACTAAGTAGTTTTGTTGTCGTTCAAATACACATTAAGAAAAACCTTGAAGGAGAACTTTGAAGTAACAGGTGATGTTTTCCTCAAAACTATTAATTTTCATACATTCACCTACTATTAATATGTAGCAGAATTTCTTCAATGGTGACATTGATTATACAGTCTATCACTTAAGAAAGTTCTTGTCTTTATTTTTAAAGAAATAAATAATGTTCTTGTCAGAAACTGGAAGCAATAGAAATAATCAAAAACATGAATAGCAGAAGAGGCTGTTGGATCCCCTGGGACTGGAGTTATGGACAGTTGTTAGGTACCATGTGGGTGCTGGTATTCAAACCCGGGCGTTCTGCAAGAACAACCAGTGTTCTTCACCGCTGAGCCATTTCTCCAGCCCCTTCTTAATTTATTTTTAAAGAAATAAATAATTTTCTTGTTAGAAATGGGAAGCAATAGGAATAACCAAAAATAGCAATACAAACAGAAGTACCTACTATAAATGTGCTAAATATTTTAAACACTTCTAAATAAACCGTTGCTCATTTGAATATATCAATATAGTTTTTATGTAGAAGTGTGAATAATATTTACAACACTATTTTAGTGTTAAATTAGACATACTAAATCCCTTCCAAATTAAGCATTTGTTGTAACTGAGGAATGTGGAAATAAAATAGCCTGATTTTCAAGAGAGCACACTGGTGAATACATATTCACCTAAAAGTTTTAGAAGTTTGCTGAGGTTCATTCCCTAAGTACAGGCAACTCTCAACTCCAGAGATATTTGACTTCACACCCAAGGGTCTCTCTCTACAGTGTTTGGAACTGGTGATGGTTGAGTATTCATTCAATGAACACAGTAGCCTTTCCCCAGGACATTCACTGAAAGTAAGTAACTGATGCATTTCAAGCTGGTGAATTTTTTAGCATTTTGCATGAGTGCTAAATATATACACATTAAATGACCACATTGGGGTTCTATCCTCTTAGTGAAATAATGAATAAGGATTCTTTGAAAACTGAGTTTTAGGCCTGACTATTCAGAATAATTTAACTATGGAAATATAAATTGATTCTGCAACAATTTTTTGTTTTCATTAGCTGGATGATGGTATGATTCCTGCTGGCTTATTTCTCAACTTTGATTTATAAATACAGATATGATATGCTTTTAAAAAACAGATTTCAGTGTATAAAGATTATCCTTTTAACTACAAGCTACAGTCTTACCTCTTGAAATTAGAATACATTGCAGAGTAAGACAGTCAAAGTTGTTTTGATTTTATAGCTGCTACACTGTCTCCTGCTATCACTATTTATCAGGGAAGATCAGTCTCTGAAGAGGCTCTGGATTCAAGTGTGAATTCCCGTCACCAGGGATCACTAGCTTATTCCCAGGTGAGCACTGAGAAGTTCATTCTGCACAAACATAACTAACTTATGAGAACTATCGGATTCAAGTGTCAATTCCCGTCACCAGGGATCACTAGCTTATTCCCAGGTGAGCACTGAGAAGTTCATTCTGCACAAACATAACTAACTTATGAGAACTATCAATCTCAAGTGATCTCTGAATTTTTCATTTTATGTAAGTTCTGGTTCATGTTCACTTGATAATCATGGAAAGTATATGAAGGCGAATTGTCTCATGTAAATATTGGGTCTAGGTTTATCTCATATTTGAGGCTAGAAAGACACCAAATTAAGAATGTAAAATGGACTGTTTTGGATTCTTTTATTTAGTGGCCATTTATGTTAATAGGAGTTTGTTGTGATTACTGTAAGACACTCTAAGTACTCTGAGGAATGTGAGGAGAGATGAGATGCAAATTTCTTTAAAAACACTTATTTAAGATGCATATTTAATAGTCAAATATATAACATAGAAAACTGTCAGTGGAAATAATTTATTCTCGGTAAGAATAATATATCTCCTACTTCAGACAAGTGGCAACTAGTTTTGGTTTATATGTTGCGATGGAGAATGGTAGAAACAATGATCTCTAATCACAAGACTCAGTCCAACTCTCTTCTAATTTTCACTGCATAAAATCATACATTGCATCCTTGATGCTACCTTGATATAAGTAGTAGACCACTAAGCATGAATCAACTATGATAATCAAATATGATTTGCAGCTTCCTCTGTCACTACCAGAATACAGAGTCAGAATATCGAGAATCACCAGAAGCTCACTGGCTAGCTATCCCTGGATACAGACCATAGAACAGAAAAGGGGATCCTATCTCAAGAGGGAAGAAGGTGAAGACTGACACTTGAGGTTATCGTCTGTCATGCCAAATTTTCCTTTGAGAGACGCTCACACTGTCTGGTATCCCAGAGTCATGCAGTCCTAATGCAGATTGACAAAGCACCACAACGTCCCTCTTAAATAACAGCTTGGGGAATAAGAATATTTATTTAGGTTTGCCAACAAAGTTTATTCTATCCAGGAGAGGGTCACTTACAATGACATGAACTCTCATGGGCTCCCGTATTTGAGATCCATGACCTCAGTGTGTGTCCTGCCCATGTTACACACACTTAGTTTCAAAATGGAGAGTCTCCTCCCCCCCCTTTTTCAGGTGTGCTCAGTGTTTTCCAGCTTCTCCATCTTCTGTCCCTCGACCTTCCCACTCTGTCACTTGAGGTTCAGTTCTAGTTCCCAGAGAGGACACACAACCCAACAATCCACCCCTTTCCCCTGGCTTTCAAAATGTTTCTGCCAGTCTTCCTTAGTATCCCTGAGCCTTGGAAGGGGAAACACATACAGGAATATCTTTCATTCATCGGGGAAAGATATTGGCCTCTTGGGCCACCTCATCATTCGCCTTCAAGACATGGTCACTGATCCATCTCAGTAGTATCTCCCCTACTATAAAGACAAATGGAAGGAAGCAGACACACCTAAACAAACATGGGAGCAAATACAAATGCTTAGACGATATCCCAGCAGGTTTGCCATATTTATCAAAGAGCATACTTGCAGAGGCTTCCCCAATGGGGCCTACAGCCTTCCCTGACATAGGGGCTTGGCTTGGTCTACAGCACCTGATGTGTATTCCACCCCTAGGAGCAGGCCTTATCCAAGTAGAAATTTTTTGGGGTTACGTATGTTAGTTGAGCCATTATTGAACCAGCAGATGTTGCTTGGCATGTCAATAACATGCAGCACACGCCACCCATCATTGAGCAGAATCATAGTGGGTCCTTTCCTCCAACAATCTGCATAGCACCTTCTGGCACTTGAAAGCCATTCATCCAGTAGCTTTTAGCTTAGCCTTTACTCCGTCTCTCCTTCTCCCATGCTCACATCATGCAGTGTCTTCAGTAACACTGCCTTACCAAACTTTTTTGATGTACAGCCAGAATTAGTAGCAATAGCCTAGGTTAATTTGAGCACCTCTAGGATCCTCTGGCCAACAGATCATGCAGGGTAACGTACCCCTGGTACTATAATTTTTCCTTAACAGTTGTACAATTTTGGGAGCCTCTGTTTCTATTTTCATATAGGATTAAATGTTGTAGGTTTTTCCCAATCATCCCAGTGGGTCTTACCTGTATCTCACTCAACCATAAAGCTCTCAAAAATCTTACAGCTATAGCTGGCCTTTGTTGCTTGAGGTGTACTTGCTATCTTTCAAATGGGTTTCACATCTGTGAAACACTCAAAGGTTAACATCATATATTAAATCAGTCCTACACAATGTCTAACGCAGCATGGAAGGGTTTTATCTATTCATAATAATTGCTTTCTCCATGGATCTCTGTTGGGTACCATAGCATGGGTAAGAAGCATTAACTTGGTTAGTTGTTTACTATATTTAGCTATCCATTTGGAGTCATTTCACATTTTGGGGATTTTACATTGAGTCCCATTATACTTTTTATCCTTGATCCACTTAAATGTGTTGACTCAAGTTGCCCAATCCTGCACCGGGCTAAGGAGGCGAAGAGTCTCTCATGTCCCTGTTGCACCTGTTGGTTCCCTGAGTCAGACAGTTTTGAATGCCCTTTGTGAACTCTTCCTCATGTTTTAAAGCCTTCCAGAACCTCTTTAGTACAGATTATTTTTGTCAATTTTTTCTTTAGGAACTTGGGCTTGACATAATCTTGTCACATTTGTCTTTGAGTAACCCAAATGAACCTCTTTTTTTGCTTTGTTTTTATACCTCTTTTAGGTTGTTCTATTATTTTAAAGACATATATCATATGCTGGTTTGAGTTACTTAGAACTTCCAAATCCTCCTTTACATTACAAAGATCCTGTCCTATTAAGGGAGTTAGTAAAACCATTAAAGTGCTGTACCATTCTTGAATTAAGCTTTCCTTTATATCTCTGGTGAATGCAGCCCTATCTGGCCCAGTGAACTGGGCATCATGTGTTGCTTCCCTTATACCTATTTATCTCAGTAACACTTGTCCCTCTTCTATGGTCCTCCAACCCCTGCTAATCTTGGCAGTGTCCATTGATGACCACCAAGCATCTTTAATGCCTTGCACAAGTAATTTCATCAGGGACTATTCCTCACTGTACTAGCCTAGGTCAAACAGCCTATGTCTCAAGGATGGACTGGTGGTGATATAACACAGCTGTGATGCTTCTGAAGAATTTAAACTAACATTATTTGCTCCCATGTCTCATACCTTCATGAGCCGTGTGGTGAGGAGCTCTTTAATTTCTTGCTTGAAAGTCCATTATAATCCCAATAGCTCCAGTGGTACAGTATTGTTAATGCTTTGGTCAGCACATTGCTTTTTACCTCGATCTTTTGACTTCTGGTGCCCTGATCTGAGGCAAGGTAAAATATCCCAATTTTTACTATCTCTCCTGGGTTATTTCCAAGTTCTGAGCCCAAGACAGAATTTGCCAGCAACTTCTGAGTCTTTTCATCCTCCTCTGAGGCTATTGCCTTGGACCAGTCTTTTATTATGCATAGAAGTGG